GGAAAGAGATTGTTCCTGAGAACCACATGTTCTACCACAACTGTATTTCAAGGGGGGGGGGGGACCCTGTTTCCCCAGCGAGAGCAGCCCTATGGCGCTCAGCCACTGTAGCCACAGGTGGGAGGGAAATCTTGGGAGGAGCGCAGAGCACATTGACACCTGCAGGTAGATCTTGGGAGGAGCGCAGAGCACATTGACACCTGCAGGTTGATGACCTCGCCAGGCTGACGTCCACCAATCCGAAGGCGGGGGGGTAGGTCGGGTTTTCACAGCATCTGTCTGCATTCCTTTGTGGGGGGTTGTTGTTGGCATTCACAAGGCTGCCATGGCGTCAGATTTGGATAACAAGACTTTGTTCGGGCCAGGCAGAGATAATTTTCCTCTCTGCCTTGAAGTCTGTAACTGATCATTCAAGTCCTCCAGTGAAGCCAATTCAGGTTTTAAACATCTCCATACCGTCCAGTGACCCTCTCCGAGATGACATCCATTTTGCGCACTAATACAGGTATCGCAGCTAGAACACTGACCAGCTTACGATTCACCTCGAGTAACGTCCCAGTCTGTGAGGTCTCCACACGGACGGTGCTTTCCGTGGGTGCGGGTTGCCCTCCAATCGCTCCCGTCTTCCCAAATTTCCAGAAAACCAGATATCCTCCCACTCCAATCAGAAGAAATCCAGTGATCATCAGGCCAAATATCCACACATCTTCGACATCCTCAATGGACAACTGAGAGAGGCATGCGATCTTCCACTCCCTCCAGGAATCGAGCATATATCCCGCTGCGTGTGTCCCTTGCGGGCAAGTGGGAGCCCCCTCCTCCGTTCTCTTCATAGAAAAAATCTTGACAATCGCATTGAATGACCAATTAATTAAATCCATTCTAAAAAATAGGGTTTTTCAGAAGAAATGCAGAGAAGCGCTCTGTGGGCAGACAGGACAAAGAGCCTTGGGAAAAAAGACAAGGGAGCAAAAGCAGAAGCGTCTGTACTCTGCGAGTGCCGGAAGAAGAATGACAGTGTGATGTAGATTTGTCAGGCTTTTCAAATCCTAGATTTTAGTAGTCTATTTTCTATCTCACTGAACTGTGTGTACAAGCTTCTCACGTGCAGCCGCCCTACTACAAGCCCACTTGACCCCATTCTGACTAAGCTGCTCCAAGCTATTGCTCCTACAGTAGCTGCAGCAGTCACACATGTGATCAACGCTTCATGACATCGGTACATTTCCCACCTCTCTTACGCACGCTCAGGTTAAACCACTGCTAAAAAAAAACATCTCTTCCTCCAAATCATGTGGAGAACTACCAACCTATCCCTCTCCTCCCTTTTCTGTCCAAAATCATTGAAAAGGTGGCTTTCAAGCAGATCACAGAATACCTCTCACAAAACTGTCTGCTTGACCCTTACCAATCTGTGTTCAAAAAGGGCCACTCCACTGAAACTGCTCTGTTAGCAGTGACAGAATCTTTAAAAGAAGCTAGAGCGACTGCCAAATCCTCAGTGCTTATCCTGCTCGACTTATCGGCTGCATTTGACACTGTCAACCATGGCTTCCTTTTGTCCACACTCTCTAGCATGGGCATCACAGAGAAAGCACATGCCTGGTTTGAATCGTACCTCACAGGATGATCATTCAGTGTATCTTGGCTTGGACAATCCTCTACCGTGCACCATCGTGCAACAGGAGTCCCCCAGGGCTCTGTACTAGGACGTCTTCTCTTTGCCATATACACCACCTCACTGGGTGAGATCATTCGATCACATGGCTTCTCCTACCACTGCTATGCAGACGACACCCAGCTCTATCTGTCATTTCCACCGGACAACCACACTGTCTCTGCACGAATATCAAACTGTCTCTCTGACATATCTAAATGGATGTAATCCCACCATCTCCAACTCAACCTCTCTAAAACTGAACTACTTGTCATCCCAGCAAAACCATCCATACAGCACAATATCTCAATCTAAAATGACTTCCTATCTCTAGCTCCTTCAAAAGCAGTTCGAAATCTGGGTGTTGTGATTGATGAACACCTGACCTTTAAAGATCATGTTGCCTCTGTTGCTCGTGCATGCCGCTTTACGCTGTATAACATACGAAAGATCTGACCATACCTAATACAACATGCCACCCAGCTCCTGGTGCAATCTACTGTCATCTCCCGCCTCGATTACTGCAATGCCCTTCTAACTGGTCTTCCAGGCTGTACTGTGAGACCTCTTCAAATGGTCCAGAACGCAGCGTCGTGTCTGGTCTTCAACCAGCCAAAAAGAGCAAACGTCACCCCTCTGTTCATTGAGCTCCACTGGCTACCGCTAGCAGCACGCATCAAATTCAAATTGTTAACACTAGCATACAAAGTCCGAGATGGTACGGATCCCATCTACCTGAATCCTCTTGCAAAGGCTTACATCCCGGCCGCTCCAGTCATCACAAGATCGTCAGCTAGCAGTTCCTACACCATGCTTAGGACAATCCAGACTCTTCTCATGCATCGTTCCACAAATGTGGAATGACCTACCAAGCACTACCAGAACAGGGGCTTCCTTTTCGATTTTCAAGAAACTCCTGAAGACTCTGCTCTTCAGAGAGCATCTTCTAAACTAGCACCCTCCCTGCACCCGTCCCCCCTCTCTACTGTCCACTCCTTGTTCCCTCCTCTCCATGACTGATGTCAATGTTGTTGTTGTTATTGTTGTTGTTAGCCTCAAGGGCAACATGCTGATTATCACTTGTAAGTCGCTTTGGACAAAAGTGTCTGCTAAATACATAAACATAAACATCAGAAGCTAATGCAGGAGATAGGTGTTGGAGACTATTTTATGTTCAGCCTGCATAAAAACTCAGAGCGACTAATTATAATCAGAAATCATCTTTAAAAAATGGGTTTTCATTTAACCAAACCTGTAATATGGCTTCATTGGCTCTTATCCAGGGCAACAGTAGCTCTGGAGGTAGATCGGGCTGTCCTGTAATCAGAGGGTTCCAGGATCAATCCTGGCTCCCGGCAGATAAGTATGCTGTTGTGTCCTTGGGCACGACACTTAACCCAGCCTTTCTCCTGCACAGAAATGGTGTTAAGCTTCATCTGTATGCAGATGACTCCCAGATTTATTTTCCTCTGTTTCCATGGGAGAAGGGCTCCATTTCTAATCTTCTGGCTTGTTTGGATGATAAGTTATGGCTCGTAGCCAATTACCTCCATGTGATTGAGAGCAAAACTGAGCTTATTACATTTCTCCCCTCTAGTAAGGTGGGTGTGAGTTTTGCTTCCAATTTAGATGTTCTCTCTCCCTATCAGAAGTCAGTTGTCACCAGCCTGGCATGAGGCTGGATGCAGAATTGGAAGCTCACATCAATTCAATTCAATTCAAAAATACTTTATTAATCCCAGAGGGAAATTGATAAGAAGATAAGAACATGGTTGTACGAGCCTGCTTCTTTAACCTGCGACGGCTAACCAAAATCAAACCCATGCTGTCTCGAGTGCATATGGAGTCTGCGCTCCACGTATTTGTTTTGTCCAGACTCGACTATTGTAATGCTTTATTTGTTGGGTTAAGTCAGGCAGCATTGAGACGTCTACAGTTGGTTCAGAACTCTGCAGCCAGATTTCTGACAGGAACAAGGAAGTCAGCACATATCACTCCTGTGCTGGCCTCGTTACATTGGCTCCCTGTAGGTCTTCGGGCTGTTTAAATTTCTGTGTTATGTCATGTCTTCTGTTTTCTTTAAGGTGGTGATTCACCATACTTGGCAGCACTAATAAAAAGACATACCCCATCATAAACTCTACGCTTGGCTGACCTAGAGCTACTAAAAGTCTCACAGACTAGGTGCAGGTCTAGAGGTGATCGGGCTTTCTCTGTCTTGGCTTCTTCTCTCTGGAATAAGCTTCCACTCGATATTAAACTGTCACCATCAGTGGAGGTCATCAAGAATCATTTGAAGACTCCTTTTTATCATTTGGCTTTGATGTGGCTTGGTTTTAGGCTTTCATGCTCCTTTTACATTTTTGTATAATGCTTTAATATCCTTTTAATTGTTCTAGGTTTTTAGTGTATTTTATATTAAACGCCTTGAGCTCCAGCAAAGGCATTGGAAGGTGCTATATAAATGATTGATTGATTGATTGATTGGCTATAGTTAATGCTGCTATAGGCTTAGACTGCTGGAAGACATACTGACCACTTTCCACACTCGACTACTTTCTTCTACAATTTGCTCTTTAACTGTATTATTTTCTGCAATTTCAGCTGTTAACGTTATTGTTTCTCTAAGTGTTTTTCTTCCCAGAAGAAGCAACAGTGATGTTCGGCTGAGCTGTGATGGCCTCGCTTGAACACTGTTGCTCACCACTTAAACATTCTCCCTCCCCTTTTTACTTTCTTTGACATGGAATGTGCTACTACTAGTTCACCTATTGAATTAATTATGGATTCACTTATTTTAAGACAGTAAATTTAATCTCTTCCTCAATAGAATATATACTAAGAAATCACAATGTAGCCATAGAAACATTACTTGTTATGTTGTTTGTGTGTGCGTGTGTGTGTGTGTGTGTGTGTGTGTGTGTGTGTGTGTGTGTGTGTGTGTGTGTGTGCGCGCGCGCGTGTGTGTGTGTGTGTGTGTGTGTGTGTGTGTCTGCTCTGTCTTCTCGATCCCCAGTGAGTCGTGGAGGATGGCTGCTTATACTGAGCCAGGATCCTCTGAAGGTTTCTTCCTGTTAAAAGGGAGTTTTCCTCTCCACTGTTGCTGCATGCTTGCTAAGTATGAGGATTGCTGTAAAGGCTCTGACACTAGTCAGTGACTCGATGCAACCTGCTGGGTTCCTTATATAGGAAACTTTTTACTTTTTTACTGATTGGCTTATTGTATTGGAATGTTTATTATGTGAAGTGCCTTGAGACGACGCTTGTCGTGATTTGGTGCTTTATAAATAAACTTGAATTGAATGTCTTCAGCTCCATGATTACTCTGATAATGTCCTTTCAGGTCTTTCCCTAACAACTACTGGGATAAGTTTGTGAAAAGAAAGGTCAGTGATTAAATCTGCAGTTTAAAAAAATAACACTGTGGGGAGTAAACATAATTCCTTCTCTTTCTTAGGTGATGGATAAATATGGGGAATTCTATGGCCATGATCGCATCAGTGAGTTGCTGGGACTGGACAAGGCTGCTTTGGATTTCAGCAGTGCTAACAAGAAAAGAAAGCCGAGGAAAGACAGCTCACTAGCAGCTGTGTTAGTATTGCGGCCTCTGTGTAACAAGTAGAAAGTGTGTGTCTGTGTGAGTGACAGAGAAGGATGAAGTGATTACTGTGGCATGAAGTGGGATTTTCAGGTTTTAATAGTTTGATTAGGGATGCTCGATATCAGTGTTTTTACTGAAATAGTCTCTTAAATTCTTATGCCGATATAAACAACACCACTCAATTTTGGGTCCCATCATAAAAAAAGAATGACTAAATTAGTTTAAGTAACTAACGTCACACATCTCCTGTTATGCAAAGTTAAACATAATCTGTTTAAGTTAGGCAAAGGCAAAAAGTGCCATATTTATTTTTTTCTCCAACATAGGTTGGATCAAAATTCTCTCCTGAAATAATTCTGACCAACACCCCCTTCATAGGGCAAGTTTCTACTTCTTCACATATGTGCGTATAAAAGTAATGTAATTAAAGAAGTTAAAACTGATGCGGATCATTTCCGATGTTACATTTTAATGCCAATATCGGCCGACAGTGTTGGTAGATCAATGACATCGAGCATCGCTACTCTGAACCTTTCATCAATTAAGATGTTTTCTTTTTTTTATCATTTTGATAATAAATCAGATCAGTTATGGAGAAATAAGTAAAATTAGCCATTAAGCCTATGTTCTGTCTGTCTTGATGGTGCTCAAGTGAGGTTAAACTGAGCATCCTTACTTCAACTTTTATGAATCCTTCCTAAGAAGAAGGTCAAAATTCCTCTTCCTTTCTCAACAGGTTGAACTCTATCGATGTCAAGTACCAGATCTGGAAACTCGGGGTTGTTTTTACAGACAATGTAAGTCTTCAAATGCATGAATCATTTGGCACAGATGCATTTTCTCATGTTTTGTTTTCAGTTTCATTTCTGCAACTTCATTATTTGTAGATTTTTCACACTGTAATTATTTTAAGGCTTTCTCATTATTTTGGATTATGTTTGTACGTTTGAAACACTCCACCAATATCACATAGCTTTGCTTTCTGTAACTTATTATTTTTGGTGCAATTTCCCCTTTAATGGTACAATCCTGAGTTTTCCCCCTTTCAGGAAATATGTATATACTTTTAGAAATCCATAAAAGTGATAGTCTTACCCTGTTCTGTGATACAATGTAAGCAGTACTTTATTTCTTGCTAAGCCTACCCCCATCCCGTAGAAAACCATGGAATTTGAATTGGCTGCCACCAATTAGACCATACTGTTAGACTACCGCTCACATTCACCAATCACAGAGCTTGCGTGAGCTTTCGAGGACATCCCTAGACAAATGCACAAATGCCGACCTTTCTTGTGGACATGTAGGCTTTTAGACGTATATGCATGATAGTGAACCTAGGGGAATCCTGAAAAATATACAGTTGCTACCTATATTACATTAGGTATTTGGACTCAGCCTATCGGGGATTCTTTTGAATGGAGAGGTTCCAAGCTTGGCCAGCTCTAGGGTGGGCGGTTGCTTGCTGTTGTTATCTCCTAGAGCTCTGGTTGCTGGTTGCGACCCCCAGAGTAATCCTTAGCACCTCTTGGGAGGGGGGTTGGGGCTTCACCAGTGACCGTCTCACTGGGGTTCCTGCTCCTGGGGAGACCCTTGAATCTCCAGGGCTTGGAACGTTGGTTACGTATTGTAGCCCCAGATTCTATGAGTCTAGTCGCAGCCCTTAAGTGAGCTGCTATTGGAAGGGTGATCTCAGCATCAGCCAATCATGAAGAGCTTAAATGTACGCCCACCACGTGGGCACCTCTTGTGGGTTATATAAGTGGAACTACCCCACTGTTCGCCTCCGATGGCTTAGTCCTAACAGAACCAGTGGGGCCAGCGGCTTAAGGGCTGCGACTCGACTCATAGAATCTGGGGTTACAATACGTAACCAACGTTCTATTTCGTCTAGTCTTAGCCCTTAAGCGAGCTGCTATTGGAATAATGCGCAGCTGGATGGGTTTATGCCACACTGGTTAGCTCAACCAATGGACACACCCAACAAGTCTCCTTTTAGTGAGGGTCGCTCAGCCTCAGCCCAGGGCTTAAAAGGCTGAGGCAGCCAGAGATAAGAGTGAGGCCCCCACTAAAAATATAATCCACAAGAGGATGAAATTCATTCAAGCAGGGATGATGAGGTGCCATAATGCTTTCACTCAGCCTGCTGAGGTCCAAGTACTGAACGAGTGATGGATCCTGAAGACACATCTCGTAAATAATAACGAGTAAAGGAACAGGGTGAAGCCCATGAAGCAGCCTGACAAATGACTTCCATCGACACACCACTGTGGGGCGCCACAGAAGAGGAAATCCCTCTGGCTGAGTGAGCCCTGAGTGTCTCGGGGGATCCCGCCCTGCTGATGTGTAAGCGAGTGAAATGGCGTCACATAGCCAGAGTCAAAGGCGCTGGGCCACCAGCGCTTGCCCAAGGGAAGACTCCCTGTAGTGCACAAACATGATTTGTGAGCGGCGAATCCCTGAAGTGCGTGACACATATCGTGCGAGCGCGCGCACCGGGCAGAGAAGATGAGAAGTCGCCTCCTCATCAGAATTATGGGGAGGAGGAAAAAGTCCAGCCAATGAAAACTGACCTGGATTTGAAGGAAGTATTAATGTTTTTGGGCACAAAGGCTGGGTTGGGGCATAAAACAGCAGATCCGCCATCTTCCCGGACCCTGAGGCATGCAGGAGCTACTTATATGGCGAGTTAGGTCGCTCACTTTCTTGACTGATGCCAGTGCCAGCAGCAAGGCAGTTGTGACAGGAACTTGAGTGAGACCTGGTCCAGGGGTTCAAATGAGGCTTCAAATAAGCCACGCAGAAACACCGTTAGATCCCACTGGGGAACTAGCGGGCGGGACACAGGTCTGTTCCTCCTGACACCTTTTAGAAAACGTTTTGTGAGGGGATGACTGAAAACAGACCCATCACCAAAATCCTGGTGACAGGATGAGATAGCTGCAGCATATGTTTTAATAGTGCTGAATGCGAGACCCCTGTCTGTCCGTATCTGCAGAAATGATAGGACATCCGCCAGCTGGCAGGAGAGCGCTTGAACATTCCGCTCTGTGCCCCAGTTCTGGAAAGCTGCCCATTTAGCAGCATAAGATGTGATGGTAGAAGGCACCCGCGCACTCTGAATCGTGGAGACCACATCATGCGGCAGCCCAGAAACCCCTAAGCGTGACTGCTCAGCGGCCAGACCCACAGCCGTTGGCCTATTTCTGGAGGATGTTTGATTATCCCATCCGCCCGGGGAGGGGCGTCCTCCCTTCGCGGGAGTCTCCACGGGGAGCCAGACAGTAGCGCTTGCAGGTCCGGAAACCATGACGCGGACAGGCGTCTGGGAGCCACCAGAATTACCGAGAGCTGTTCTGACCGAACTCGGTCCAGGAGACGGGGAATCAGAGGGACTGGTGAAAACGCATAAAGGAGCGTTCGAGGCCAGGGCTGGTGTGAGACGGCGTCCGCCCCGAGCAGGGGTTGGTCCCGGGGACTCCGGGAAAACCACAGGCGACACTGAGCGTTTTCGCAAGCCGTGAACAGCTCCACAGACGGTTCCCCAAACCTTATCCATATGTGCGAAATGCAGACGCCAGTCAGAGTCGCGGGGACCCCTCTCGACAGGATGTCTGCCGCTACATTCAGGATCCCCGGAATGTAGGTGGCACAGCAGGTGGACATGTGCCCAGCACAGTAAACCTGTGGCTACGCGCAATAGTGGGAGGGATCGAACTCCCCTTTGGCGATTTATGTAGGCTGCCGCCACCTGGCTGTCTGTGTGAACTTCGACATGACGGCCCTCGAGAAGGGCAGCGAAGTGTCTCAACGCATTCCTCACTGTCATAAGCTCCAACACATTTATGTGCTCGTGCATGTGGGAGGGCCAGCGATCTGCCGCCGTATGGGACAAGCATGTGCCCCCCACCCCAGACAGTGATGCATCCGTAAACACAGATACGTGTGACGTAGGACTCCCGATGGGGACCCCGTGTGAGAGGATGCAGGGATTCCCCCAGTGAGCGAGGTCCCCGCCCACTGAGGGGGGAACCCTCAACATACGTCTCTTCTGACGTATCGGGTGTACCCGGAGGCAGATGAACCAGCGTTGCAGGCACCTCAAGCGCAACAACCCTAGTAGCACCGCCGAGTGGGCTGCAGCCATCATGCCCAGAAGTCTCATGACTAACAGGGCTCTCACGATCTTGCGGGGTTGCACGCGGGAGATCACCGTGGTGAGATCTGCGCTCTCACCGGCGACAAACGTGCTCTCATTAGGGAGGCGTTCAGCTCCACCCCGAGAAACACAATCAACTGGGATGGAAGGATGGAGTTCTTCCCCCAGTTTATAGAAAACCTCAGGGTTGACAGATGCTCTGTTAATTTCCTGGTTTGCTCTGACGCCTCGTCCTTGGACCGGGGGCATCGGAGCAGATCGTCCCGGTAAAATAAAACCCTCGTTCCCGCCGTGAGCAGTGGCTGCAGCGCGGTCTCCAGACATTTGGAGAAAGTGCGCTGGGCTAGCGAGTAGCCGAAAGGGAGGCATTCGTGCGCGCGTTCCGACAGCGGACGTGTGCTCAAGGTCACGTGAGGATTGGGTTCGCTCCCTTACCGCCGTCGCTCGTACCAGAGAACTGGGAGCGACCCATGGAGGGCTGTGCTCGAAAGGGCGAGTGTGAAACAGCTGGAAGAGGCTGATCCGCACCGCAGAGCGTGGAGTCCAAGGATGAAGGACGAGTGGGAGCCGGGCCCGTGCACGGGAACAACAAAGTGCCAGCGGATGGAGCCGCCCAACGTGCGCGCTTTGTGCGTGGTCACGACAGCGCCATGACATCCCGTCCCACCCAACGCTGTGGGGGAAGCGGGATGAGTCGGGCCTGGCCGTAGGCTGGGGCCGGTGTGCAAATGGAGCGCACCCTTACAGCAAGCCATGTAACATGACCGAGTCCGACTGTGTGAACATGCAGATGCGCTGCAGTGTTTGGTGCGGGGAACATCATGTGTGAGGATTTGGCAGAGGGTTCTGCAGAGGACTGTAGGACTGTGCTCTCGATGTGACGTTTTTTGGGTTTTATTTCAAAACCAAAATCATTCACAGAGTTAACATTACAGTCATAAGCACACACATTCCCCCCAACGAGTCGTTTTCGTGGTTGTTTTCGGCGAGGTTCCTGTGACTGAGACTGCCAAGGCTGTGTCTGCTGGCTCATTCGGAACCGTTGGCCGCCAACTCCCTGGTCCCGCCTCAGCGGGAGGCTGGCTCCGCGGGGCGGGCCGTGCAGCTGGGCGCCTGGAGTTTCCGCGCCGTTCGTCCCATCCTCTGGGGGAACGGCCGGAGTGCGAGGCTGACCGAGAGTGGACCAGGTCTCGCACCGTGGCTGAAAGTTCAGCCGCCATCTGAGCCCTCTCAATGACGCTCGTAAGATGGGGACCAAACAGAACGTCAGAGGTGATGGGGCCTTCCAGCATCTCCTTGTGAAGGTGTTCAGGAATGGAGGGCAGGGCTTTGAGCCACAAGGCCCGCTGGATAAGGGTCTGCCAGGCAGCAATGCGAGCAGAACCGGTGAGTACAGCCACGCACAGATTGAGGATGGCATCAGCAGTTTTAGTAATGATGGTTTCTGACTCAACAGGAGTGTCAAGCTCCTCCACCATTTTGGAAACGCCAAAGGCGAGAAGGCGATGTTATTTCCTGCAGCGCCGGTCTGGAAGGCGCACTGGTGTGCGTGATCGGCGAGCCTCCTCAGCAGCTTGTCATACTTAGAAGCGGCAACTGCTCGCGGTCCAGCGAGGTGGTTCTTGACGCCACACAGCGAGGCCAAGTCTGGCTCCAGTGGGGGAACGGATGGCCAGCCCAGGTCGGAGAAGCCCTCGACCTTGGTAATGGGCACAAATGTGGAAATTGGCGCCTTGAGCCTGGCAGGCTCGGAGGAGGCGGCGGACCAGCAGCTCATGGCAGCGGGGAAGCGTGGCCAGACGGGGCCTGGACAGCGCGTCTGTGTCGCCCCGAAAATTCCCGCCAATTCATCTGCCTCAGGCAGAGCCGGTTCTGGAACGGCTAGCCCCTTGCGGGCCGCAGCCGCGGAGATGATGGTGGGCAGCTTCTCACTCCTCCCTGCTGGCAGGGAGGAGCGAGAAGCCACTGGGGCAGAAGGACCCACTGAGCGAGGCTCGTCGACCTCTGTGTTGTACAGGAGGGAAAGGGGGCTACGGCAGCCAGCCTCGTCGTGCTCCTCACGAGGCTCGTCGACCTCCGTGTTGTACAGGAAGGAAGAAGGGCTATGGCAGCCAGCCTCGTGGTCAACCTCCGTGTTGTACAGGAGGGAAGAAGGGCTATGGCAGCCAGCCTCGTGGTCGACCTCCGTGTTGTACAGGAGGGAAAAAGGGCTATGGCAGCCAGCCTCGTCGTGCTCCTCGCGAGGCTCGTCGACCTCCGTGTTGTACAGGAGGGAAGAAGGGCTATGGCAGCCAGCCTCGTCGTACTCCTCGCTGTCGATGACATCGTCCAGTCGGTAGAAGACAGCCGGCTCCTGGCCAAAGTTGAAGAACTGCAACGCCTTGTCCAGCAAGTACGTGCCAGCCACCGGAATTTCCTCGCAGGTGGTGGGGGTGAAGTACTTGACCCGGCGGACCTTTTCAGCCATGGGCAGAGCGGTACAAAACGGGCACGAGGCCTGGCGGTCAAGGCCAGGCCAGCGTGGTGAGCCCAGAGACAGACCTTACACTTGGCGTGCAGGTCGCCGCTGGAGATGGAGCCCGTCTGGCAGGCCGGGCAGGTCCTGGCGTCGCTGGACATGGTCGGTGAGTAGATTTTTCTTGTATAATTGCTCTTAAAGGAAGCTCTTAAGCTTGGCGTGAAGAGAAAACGGAGGCGAACAGTGGGGTTGTTCCACTTATATAACCCACAAGGGGTGCCCACGTGGTGGGCGTACATTTAAGCTCTTCATGATTGGCTGATGCTGAGATCACCCTTCCAATAGCAGCTCGCTTAAGGGCTAAGACAAGACGAAATAGAACTCCTCCATGTCTTTGGGGGCAGATCTGTGGCCTCTCACACTCACTATTGGACACTCCTATGGAGAAACCTTACATATACAAGCGCTTGTACCCATGCAGGTGCTCACATGGTGCTCTCACAAGAATGCTCACACATCACCTGTGTGGTGGCTGTTGTTGGGACAAAATGCACTATCAATTATTACCATGTGCTTCTCAACAAAAATAGTTACTTTTATATATCCTTATGATTTTGGCGCAGTGGTCTTGTATATTTGTTTGTCCCCTTTTTTGTTCTCGCTCTCTTTCTGCAGGTCTAGAAGCAGATTCTTGTTTATCATTTATTATTTATTTTTGTGGGCTCAGGGCTCTATCCTAGGTCCACTCCTTTTTTCTATCTACATGCTTACCCTCAGCAAGATTCTCGCCAGTCACGGGGTCAACGAACACTTCTATGCAGATGATTGTCAAACTTACTAGCATCACTCAGTCTGCTTTGACAGACTGCCTCTCTGGCATCAGAACCTGGCTATCCTTTAACTACCTGTGTTTAAATGACAGCAAGACCGAGGCCATCCTTTTATATCCTACAAACGTCAGTAGTATATCAGCTGTGCCAACCCTACCTGCCCTTAGTTTCCAATCATGTGCCACTAGTTTGGGTGTGAAACTAGATTCCGACCTGTCCATGACCATTCAAGTCAACGCCACCGCCAGGTCGTGCTTTTTCCAGCTTCGCCATATCACTCACCTTAAACCCATTCTCAAACGCCCACATCTCGAGTCAGTCATCCACGCATGTATTACCTCCTGTCTAGATTATGCAAATGCAGTCCTGTTTGGAATTAGGGCTTCCACCTTGGGCAGACTACAGAAGGTTTAAAATGCTGCTGCCAGATTCTTAACCAAAAGTACGACACACACGCACACACACACACAGTGCAAGTTAGACTTACACTTTTTTCTCTCCTCTGCCTGAGCTGATGGTGATGCGCGGCATGTGTCACGGTTGAGATGCACCTTTTGCACAAAATGCGGCCCTTCATGGATCGCGTGCCAGTTCATTGTAGGAAGCCATATTTGACACAGCCCATGTAGAACGCTAACAAATGTCACTGTTGTAAGCTGTGTAATAGGTTACAATGGCGCACTGATTTGCACACACTGCTGTATTTTGTTGTCCATTGTGTATTGATTGGAAGAGCTCGTATGAGTGCCTGTGTGCAGGAAAGTAATCCACGAAAACTGTATTTTGAAATTATTTTAGGGGTTGTTTTGAAGAAAATTTGTTGAAATGTATAAATCTGATATTGATGTTCAGTGAGGATGATAAAACCTCTGTATGATGTTATTTAGTCAGAAAGATTGAAACTGGCTGCTGCTGTGGATGATTATCTGGTGTAATGAACAGGTAATGCTAAACATAGAAAATCAGAACAGTAATAAACTGCAAACTGATTCATCCCATTCCTTTTCTGAATGTTTTTCTGATATTTTACATTTCCTAAGACCCTGTTGAGGCTTACAGTTCTGATTTGTGGTTGTTTCCTCGCTGTAGTCCTTCCTGTATCTGGCCTGGTACATGAGCATGTCTGTCCTGGGTCACTACAACAACTTTTTCTTTGCTGCCCACCTGCTGGACATCGCCATGGGTTTTAAGACTCTGCGAACCATCCTCTCCTCAGTCACACACAACGGCAAACAGGTACACGAGCCAGGTTTTAATGATCTCACACATCTGGTGCGTGCTTCTGCTCCTGACTGTTTTCTGTCCTATAGCTGGTGTTAACCGTTGGCTTGCTAGCTGTGGTGGTCTACCTTTACACAGTAGTCGCCTTCAACTTCTTCAGGAAGTTCTACAACAAGAGCGAAGATGGAGAACTTCCAGACATGAAATGTGATGACATGTTGACAGTAAGTATAAGAAGAATTGAGTTCTGAATGCTTGGTTGCTCAAACCTGTATTGTGTGATGTCATTTATCGTCCAGCCATTTACAACAAAGACTATTAAAAAGAAGTCTTGCCTAAAAAGGATCTTTATTTAACCAGATGAGTCGATAGAGAACTCATTCTCATTTACACCGACTATCTGGTCAAGAGGCAGCAGACGTATGGTTAGCTTTACATCAGAGAACAACAGAAAGATAAGATAAAAACAGTCAGACGTAAAGACAACGGACTGTTCTCATATATAAAATGTGAAAGCAATCAAAACAGACTTAAAACAGTCTTTTAGCACTCAGAACCACATTGATCAGAAACTATTGATTAGAATGAATTACTGAAGGTAGATAATGGGATGTACGTAGTGAGCTTCAGTGGTTTTTGCAGCTCATTCCAGTCGATGGAAGCAGCAAACTGGAATGAGGAGCGGCGCGAGCTTTGGGAAGAACCACAGTGATTAAGTTACTGGAACGTAAATTGCGCTGGTTGATGGAAGCGTATTGACGTGTTCTACCGATAATTGTTTTGTGTAAATCCTGTAACACTCACATCCTGCGGGAATGGAGTGATGGCCAGTTAGCGAGTGAGTACAGATCACGATGATGAGTAGTGAAATTGCCACCAGTGACCAAGCGGGTTGCTGAGTGATAAATGACATCAAGTTTATGAAGAAGATTTTTGGAAGCAGTCCTATAAATGATGTCACCGTGATCTAAGATGGGAAGGGTTGTCATTTAGACCCAGGTTTGCTTTGCTTGCTTTTTTAAGGTGTACGGTTTTACTGGGACTAATTTAAAAATGATGATGTAAGCCTCAAGTGGAATTACCAAGCTGTTAGTTTGGACTTTCACCGTTCAGAAAGTGAATGATAAACACTATTGCTAAGACAATAACAACACAACACATATAATATTAACAACTTTTTAAAAGCTCAGCTTATTAAAAGATTAAAAGCATGTTTACCTTTTGCACTTTCAACCTCCGACTGCTGAAAACCCACTTCGATGAGCTTGTGGCACTGACATACGGGTACTTTTGCTCTTAATCACAACATCTGGGGAAGGCTGGCAGCTTAGTTTTCATCAGAGGAGCGTGCTGTTGTCTTTTCAAAACAGGCTCCTAACAGAAAGGTGCTATTTCAGCTACGGTTCGCTCCTCTACGGTTCTGACGGAGGGTGCGTCTTTCGTGGTCATCTTTAGATCCACAAATGACCTAATCAGTGTCTTCTGGCTCTTTTTTTGAGTCTGTTTCAAAGCAGAAATACTCCCAAACTGCAGAAGTTGTGTTCTTTTTAGACACCAAGTCAGCTAGTGTAGGAGCTGCCATTTTCCTCTCGGTGCACCGTCACGTGATGACATCACAATCATAAATATATAGAAAGTCTCCAAAAGTTGGACAAAACATTTTAAACTATTTCAGTAAAACTTAAAATTCAACCATACTTCTGTTTTTTCCATCAAATTACTTTTATTTATCTTTTTATGAAATTTTGCTTTTATTTGTTAATCCTTGCCTCCTACGTGGACTGTTATTTCATAACGGTGTTGGAGCTAACACCTTGCTATGTTTTTTAACATCGGCAGTATGTAGTAATACCATAATACCACCTAAGCCCAGTGTGAATGGATGAATGATGCACTGTAGTGTAAAGCCTTTTGGAGTCCTCTGACTCTGAAAGGTGCTGTACAAGTGCAGGTTGTTTATTATCATTTGCGTTCTTTATATCATTAAATTTGCATATTGATTAAATCATCATGCTATACTGGTGTTATTTCTCACAACATCTCAAATTATACACACACACACACACACACACACGTATATATATATATATATATATATATATATATACAGTTGTGGTCAGAAGTTTACATACACTTGTAAAAAATATAATATATGGCTCTATTGAGTGTCCCGTTATTTCTAACACTCTGATTTTTCTCTGATAGAGTGATTGGAACAGATACTTCTTTGTCACAAAAAACATTCATGAAGTTTGGTTCTTTAATGTCTTTATTATGGGTTAACAGAGAACAGTGATCACATTTGCTGGGTCACAAATATACATACAGCAGTGCTAATATTTGGTTACATGTCCCTTAGCCATTTTCACTTCAATCAGGCGCTTTTGGTAGCCATCCACAAGCTTCTGGCAAGCTTCTGGTTGAATCTTTGACCACTCCTCTTGACAGAATTGGTGAAGTTCAGTTAAATTTGATGGCTTTCTGACATGGACTTGTTTCTTCAGCACTGTCCACATGTTTTCAATGGGGTTTAAGTCAGGACTTTAGGAAGGCCATTCTAAAACCCTTATTCTAGCCTGATTTAGCCCTTCCTTTACCTCTTTTGATGTGTGTTTGGGGTCATTGTCCTGTTGGAACACCCAACTGCGCCCAAGACCCAACCTTCGTGCTGATGATTTTAGGTTATGTTGAAGAATGTGAAGGTAATCCTCCTTCTTCATTATCCCATTTACTCTCTGTAAAGCACCAGTTCCATTGGCAGCAAAACAGCCCCACAGCATAATATTCCCACCACCATGCTTGACTGTAGGCATGGTGTTCTTGGGGTTAAAGGCCTCACCTTTTCTCCTCCAAACATATTGCTGGGCATTGTGGCCAAAAAGCTCGATTTTTGTTTCGTCTGACCACAGAACTTTCCTCCAGAAGGTCTTATCTTTGTCCATGTGATCAGCAGCAACCTTCAGTCGAGCCTTAAGGTGCCGCTTTTGGAGCAAGGCCTTACTTCTTGCATGGCAGCCTCTCAGTCCATGGAGATGCAAAACACGTTTGACTGTGGACAATGACACCTGTGTTCCAGCAGCTTCTAATTCTTGGCAGATCTGCTTTTTGGTGATTCTTGGTTCACTCTTTACCCTCCTGACCAATTTTCTCTCAGCAGCAGGTGATAGCTTGCGTTTTCTTCCTGATCTTGGCAGTGATGAAACAGTGCCATGCACCTTATACTTACAAACAATTGTTTGCACTGTTGCTCTTGGGACCTGCAGCTGCTTTGAAATGGCCCCAAGTGACTTTCCTGACTTGTTCAAGTCAATAATTCGCTTTTTCAGATCCATGCTGAGCTCCTTTGACTTTCCCATTGTAGCGTTTGTGGGCGTTTGTATCCAATGAGCCCTATTTACCTGGCCTAAGAGAAGTCACCCGCTGTAGTCACTCATAATCACTCACAAGAAGTTAAGAGGCCATGCTATGAAGCTCAGTTCACTGACACGTTTCTAAGTCACCAAAATTGCTAGTTCATGTTGCTGTATGTATACTTGTGACCCAGCAAATGTGATCACTGTTCTCTGTTAACCCATAATAAAGACATTAAAGAACCAAACTTCATGAATGTTTTTTGTGACAAAGAAGGATCTGTTCCAATCACTCTATCAGAGAAAAATCAGAGTTTTAGAAATAACGGGACACTCAGTAGAGCCATTATATCATATTTTTTACAAGTGTATGTAAACTTCTGACCACAACTGTATGTATATATATATATATATATATATATATATATATATATATATATACACTGCTCACAAAAATTAAAGGAACACTAAAGAAACACATTAGATACACCAGATCTCGATATGAAGTTGGATATCCATACAAATAAGGACAGGGCAATGTGTTAGGAACAAAAGGATGCCAAGTATTTTAATGAAAATAAAAGTTATCAGCCTACAGAGGGCTCAGTTGTGTAGACACCCTAAAATCGGAGTAAAATGAAGACGTGGCAGGCTAGTCCATTATTTCAAAAACTTAATTTCTGCAACTCAAATTTACTTTTCAGTATCTTGTGTGGCCCCCAGGAGCTTGTGTGCATGCTTGACAACGTCGGGGCTCCTAATGAGACAACGGATGATGTCTTGTGGCATTCCCTCCCAGATCTGTGTGGGGGCGTCCTTGAGCTCTTGTACAGTCTGAGGAGCAACCTGGCGCCGCCTAATGGACCGAAACATAATGTCCCACAGATGTTCTATTGGGTTTAAGTCAGGGGATCGTGAAGGCCATTCAGTTGTTTCAGTTCCTTCATCCTGCAGGTACCGCCTGCATACTCTTGCCACATGAGGCCGGGCATCGTCCTGCATTAGGAGAAAACCAGGACCTGCTGCATCAGCGTAGGGTCTGACAAAGGGTTCATCTCCATACCTTATGGCAGTCAGAGCACCATTTCTAGGCAGTAGAGGTCTGTGCGTCCCTCCATGGATATGCCTCCCCAGACCATCACTGACCCACCACCAAACCTGTCATGTTGAACGACGTTGCAGGCAGCATAACGTTCTCCTTGTCTTCTCCAGACTCTTCCACGTCTATCACGGGTGCTCAGGGTGAACCTGCTCTCGTCTGTAAAAAGTACAGGGCGCCAGTGGTGGACTTGCCAATTCTGGTGTTCTTGAGCAAATGCCAGTCGAGCTCTACGGTGCTGGGCAGCGACACAGGGCCCACTACAGGACGTCGGGCCCTCAACCATCTTCATGAAGTCTGTTCCTGATTGTTTGGGTGGAGACGTTCACACCAGTGGCCCTCTGGAGGTCATTCTGTAGGGCACGAGAAGTGCTCAGCCTGTTCCGCCTTGCACAAAGGATCGGTCCTGCTGATGGGTTGTGGACCTTCTACGGCCCTGCCCAGCTCTCCGAGAATAACCGCCAGTCTCCTGAAATCTCCTCCATGTTCTGGAGATTGTGCTGGGAGACACATGAAACCTTCTTGCTGCAGCACGCGTGGATGTGCCATCCTGGAGAAGTTGGACAACCTGTGCACCTTCTGTAGGGTTAAGGCATCGCCTCATACCGCCAGCAGAGAGCCAAAACCAGCACGAGTGGAAAACCAGCCGAAACAGACCCAGAGGGAGAAACTTGAAATGACCTCTACATGTTGAACCAGTCCTGTTTTGAGGGTTTTGTAATTGTTGCCACTTTAGTGCACCTGTCGTTACGTCCACTAACACCAGTACAGCTGA